TGTCCGGGTTTCGTCGATTTCCTTCCGATCTTTATCGGGGCTGAGGCCGCCTGCGCCTGGGGTGCCGGCTCGGGGGCGCGGGGGCACCGGGCTGTGCTGGGGACGGGGGTTTCATAGTTGGTCGGGTCAGAAGGGACCTGCGCAGATCATCAAGTCCGACCCCCTGCCGTGGCAGGAAGGAGTACTGGGGTCAAACGACCCCGGCAAGGTGATTGTCTAGCCAAAAAAAATCGGGTTGATTTACCGTGAAGTAGAAACAGCACTGCAGGAGAAGGAAAAACACAACAAGCCACAAATAAAGTGAGTGATAAGCACAATATAAACGCAGATAAACTAATCGCTGCTGAAAGCATTTCTAGCTAGGCTCCAAGTTTACAGAGAATATGGGTTAAGCAAGATGAAAACCTTGCGTATCTCGGTTGCGCTGAGAGGGGCGGGAACGGGGGCTACTTTTGTCCTGAGCAAAACTCGTGGGGAGCTCCGGGGTCGGCGGGCGGGAGACATCACGGCTGTAGCTGCGCGACCGCCCCACCAAGCCACAGGGACCCCAGGGCGGGTGAAGTCAAATTAATTATTCGGGGACCGGAGCATCAAATCCTCGCTGCCCCTGGGCTTTGCATAGGGTGGTGGTTTTCAACCTTTTTCATACCAGGGCCTATTTGTAAACATCAGTGGCCAGTCCTAACCCAGTGCCCCCCACGCCCCAGCCCCCCTGTGTATGGGGGGAGTTCACAAGCAGCCCCTTGCAGGCTGCAACTCTGCCAGTGTGTGCAAGGGAAAAGCCACAGTTCCCCACCTTTTTATCCTTTAAAGAAGAATCCATTTTTCAAGTTTGTTCCCGACCCTTTCATATATTCTTGCAACCCACTTTTGGGCTGGGACCCACGGGCTAAGGAGCGCTGAATTAAGAAGGCTGTTCTCTCCCCCTGCCACTTCCTATCCTTCCAGAAGCAGCTAAGTGCAGTCATTCGTTTCCCGTGCTCAGAAATAATTTCCAACGAGGTTTCTTCAATTCTTTCGATTTCTCCCCGACCTTTATTGGGGCCACAACTCCTGCCACCCCCCACACCCTGCCAAGACCAGGCTACTTTCCCTGCTCTGCCCTCACTGCCTGCTCCATCCAGTCTTGCTGCCCAGCGTGTCCCCTACCTACGCCTGCCCCAGGGGGCAGCACGAGGATGAGGAGACGGTTGTGCAGCCCAGTCCTTTCTAGGGAGAGCAGGGGCTGCTCAGCTGCAGGGTGCAGGGAGTGCCCTGCACTTGGGAGATCGCAGCCGGTTGAGGCCAGATGGGCGGACTGTACTCTGTGATAAGGAACTTGTTTGGTGGTGATGTCAGGGCAGGAAGTGACATCCAGCGCACTGTACACCACGTGGCTGTGAATCTATAACCACTTACATTTCTCCTTCACGTCAGCAAGAGGCGGTGAGAAGCAGGAAGAGAGCCGGCTGGGAATCCTCAAAACAAGCTGCTGGCCACAAGGTGAGACAAAGGGGCAGGAGAAAGGAGCCAGCTGGGATAAGGAGAGAGACACGCAGCCAGACTCAGACTACAAACGCGGCTCCTGACCTAGAGACCTGTACGGGGCAAGGGTGGGACTAAGGCTGGTACGTCAGCTGTGCCTCCAGTGGTGGGGAAGGGGCACGTGGATGTGCCAATTGAAATATTGTGATCTGATATTGATCCCTGGAATACATGCTGTGTCCCTTTTGATGTGTATCTACCTGCATTTATCTTCTCTCCTTGGCTGGCTGTAAAATGTTTGCCAAGCTGTAGACTGTCCTGAGAGCTCCTTGTGCTCATGGGATACCCAGAGCTGTGGGCCTTTGATATTTAACAAGAAGTGGACTTGGGCTTGGCTGTGGCAGTAAATGACTGAGAGCTGAGGAGGGGGCTGTCTGTCCCGTGAAGTCCCCATGGCACTGCTCCCCATCACCCCGCACCATGCTGGCATCCCCAGTCCGTGAGGGCCTGGCCCAGTGCTAAGGGCAGAGCAGTGTCCTCAGCTCTGCTGGCTCTAGCACAGAGTCCTGCCCACAAGCATGGGCCTGTGGACTGTGGGAATGGAGAAGGCCCTGAATTAGGGTGAAGGCACTGCCTCCTGATGCCTGAATCCAATGGCTTGCTCACAAGAGACAGCACCTTGCTTAGGGACCACTTGTTCCCCAACTCCCAGCTTATTCAAGTCTCCCTGACCTTGTGCACACACGCACAGACACCCTCATCCCAACCCCCAGGCGAGTAATGGTGCTGGGGCTGGCACTAAAGGCTCTCAGCGCTTTATTTGTATAATATTGTAGCTCTTGGGGCAGGGTGCCCCTAGGAGCAGGTCAGCTGACTGGCCTCGTCCATGTTGCTGCGTGGATGCATGCGGCGCCGGCGGAGGCGCTGGATGCTGGCATCCACATCAAAGCCCATCTGCTTGTCGTGGATGCAGGAGCGCAGGTGCTTCTTGGTGTGCTGCATGCGCTCCACGTTCCTGGCCGTGTTCTGCATGGAGGACTCTAGCAGTGTGCTGCCCTGTGGCGGAGGACAGGGTGGGTACCATTGAGTGGGGCCTCACTGGTCCCTTCCCTGCTGGTGTCACAACCCAACTCAGCGCTGCCCTCCCCTGCCCCCCTTGCTCTTCAACAGCATCCTCCTCTGCAGCTGTCACAGCCTGATGAGGCACTGCTGCCCCCAAGACCCCAGTATACCATCAACACCTATCTCAGCTGGGCGAAGTCCCACCCATCCAGCAACAGTGTCACTTCAGTCATTACCACCAGGTGAGGCATTGCATCTGGCAGCCTCATAATCCCTTACAGCCATCACAGATCACAGGCAGGCCAGGTGCAAAAGCCTAGCAACACCATAACCTCCTACAGCTACCATATTTGGATAGCATTACTGCCTACAGCCACCACAGTGGGTAAGCTGCTCCCAGTCCATCTGCCCCATTGGCCCCTACAGCCTTCCAAACCCGATGAGATAGCCCTGTGCCTGGCAACGTCTTCCCCTGACTGCCATCAGAGCGTGGGTACCTGTGTGAGGATGTTGGCCTCTGGCAGCTGGGTGCCCACATGTCGCTGATACACTCGCACTATGGGCCGGGTCAGCTTCTCTCGCGTCTCCTGGTACTTGCTGGACTCAGGGCCCTGAAACCCAGGGCCACAGCAGGTCAGAGTTGGGAGAGCCCCACAGCCGAGCTATCCCCTCCCACTAAAGGCACATACTTCAGCCTCCCTGGTTGGGTCCCCCTTTCCCCAGCCCTTTCCCCTAGCTGGTACCATCCTATAGGCCAGCTGATATCTCTACCCCAGGTGCTCCATCACTGCCCTCCAGCTGGTACTCCCTCCCCTCCACTTCTCTGCAGTCCCTCTCAACTGTGGAGCCCTTTTCCCATCACACCCCCTGTCTGCTTATCTCTCCTCCCCCTGCTCCTCCTCTCCCTTCCTCTCTGCTCCCAAACCCTCTCATGCCCCTGCGCACCATGGTTATGCCATGGGTGATGCCCATCTCATCGTGGAAGCGCTGGCAGCGATTCAAGGTGCTGCGCATGCCCCCCATCACCATATAGAGACGCTCCTGCCGGCGGAGAAGCAGAGACACACAAGTAGTTAGGGATCAGCCTAGATCTACACAGGAATAGGTCATCCCCCCCACCACCTCCAAGCGCTAAGTTTGAATTAGAGCAGCTGCCCCTTCAAGAGGGAAGGGGACATGGAAGTCATCCTTTGGGACACCCTCCCCTGCCCCCACAATGGTTGGTATCCCTGGGAGAAGGCAAGGTGGGAGTCAGGAGAAGAAGGCAGGGTCCCTTGGGGGGCAACACATGAGGATGGGCTGTTGTGGAGTGACTGGAGTGTATGGGGTGGGGAGAGGGAACAAAGTGTGTGTGAGGGGCAGGGCCCTAGGGAGACGGCCTGTGGGGAAGAGGGTTCTGCAGAAAGGCTGGCACACGTAGGGTAGCATCCCATTGGGGTTGGTGTGGTGAGCAGGGGTCCCCAGAGGGTAGCATGTAGAGCAGTGTCCCATGAGGGTCAGGTTCATGCGGGGGGTTGCCATGTCCTGTGTGGGGCCAGTCCTTGCCCCCAAGTTACCTTGAGGGCCATAGTCTCATTCATCTTACGTTGCAGGCTGCCGTCAATGGCTGCCTGGGCCTCTCGGAGAGTGGCTGTGGCCTGGACCGTGTCCTCTTTCAGCACCGTCAGCACCTTCTTGGATTGTACTGTGAGGTGCCGTGCCTCCTCGATAGCTGCAGCACACTCTGGGGTGTGAGACACCGGTGTCAGGACTGGCCCCAGGGGGTGGGAGATCCCCACCGTGCATTCCCCTCACACGGAGGGGAGATGCCACCCATGTTATGGACCCTCAGGGCAGAGAGATCCTCCACAATGGATAGTCTCCCAATCTGTACTTTGGGGAGATACCACAAGGCACAGCACCCCCACCATGGGAGTGGGGGAAGGCACAGCCCACACTCTGTGTATCCTTCCCATTGTAGCCAGCACCATGGGCCAAGGGAGCATGGGAATAATGGGAGGGATGTAGCTTGGGTGCCATTTTCCTGGAGAGCCCATTGGCAGCCATGGACTCAACAAGTTGGGAAAAGCAACTGGGTGACAGTTGCTGGAGGAGTATGGGGAGAGCTGAGGGGTCATGGGGTTCATGTTCCTAGTTGGTAGAGAGGGGGTCCCTGGAGAGACATCCATGACAGAGATGGATCTCTGGGGAGGGCAGAAAATGGGGCCCTAGTGGAGGCTGGAAGCATCTGAGGAAAGCTATAAGGGGGTTTCTGGGGGGCTGAGGCAATCCCAGGGGTTGAAGGGATCTCTGTGGGGCTGGTGATGGCGTCTCTTTGGGGATGGTGACAGGGTCCCTGGCAGGAGGTGAGAGGGGGTGGCCCGAGGGAGGCAGGGGTGTCTACTGGGTGCAGTGATGGGGGCACAGGCTCTCTCCTAGATGGCCTCATC